TCTGGGCCTTCAAGTCCTGCATCACCGGACTCTCCGCCAATTTTCTTGACGAAATTCCCCTCAGGATCAAACAGAAGGACGCACTCACCACCAAAGTCAGACACAGCGACATGACCAGCGTGGCTTACAGCTACTGCAGAGGGGCCGAAACTGCGCTTATATCTGTTTGGAAGGTTAACAGCATTGATGATCTCAGCCGTGCCGCCAGTTGTTGCGGACGTAGCTGAAGCAGCAGAAGGAATAGGTTTATTAATTGGTAAAGGTTTTTCAGCAGGACCGGGTGTGGTCGCTTTTTGCCCGAACTTGATGTTGCCCAATCCTTCCTCTCTGGCCATTTGAAGAAGTTTTCTACTTGGTGTCAAATCAATGATAAAAGATGGATGCTTCTTTCCGTCTTCTTCATCTTTATTGTCATCATCTCCTTCATTACCACCAGAATCGGCCCCGTTAGAGAAGCTTGCCGCGCTGGCTGCCTTGCGCAACTGCTTGTTCACCAAATCATCTATTTCTTTTAGTATTTCCTTTTCTTTATCAGAAACTGCTTCGCGAATTTTATTAGCTGTTTCTGTAAAAAGCTTTCTGACCAGTTCTGCTTCTTCTTCCAGAGTCGCTGCTATCTGTCCACGAACGACAGGCTTTTTCTTCGCCTCTTCGCTCACTGGCTTGGGTTTTTTGGGTTTGTTTCTTGGTTTTTTCGTTGTCTGGTCCCCAGAAGAGAGCTCTAGAAGCCGTATAATCTTGAGATCTGATGGTAAAGCGTTTACTCCACCTTTGGGCATTGGGAGTTCTTGGTCATCGATAGGACATTTCATAATCAAGGAGTTCTGTGGTACAACACTCTCTAAGCATCCAAGACATACTGTATGCATGCATGGTAGTCGTTTAGGGTCGTCGTATTCGTCCTCACACACAGGACACAGTAAAATATTCCCCGAGATACTCTCACTGTTGGCAGTAGCCTTAGAAAAGAACGCCATATTTCAGATATTTTAGGCAATTCTCTTTAACAAGCTGACAGAGAATCAACCGAAGGTCGTGCTTATTCAAAACCCTACGTTGGACTGAAGTCCGAAAGTCCTCGATCTGATGCTTGACGTAAACAGTTTTTTTCTTAAGTGTTTTATCTAGCCAAGACCTTAGGTTCATTTATATCACATTTTTGCTTTCAAACGAAGAGAATTTTCGACCAATCATTGGCTTTTAATTCATATCAGCTTAATTCACTTTTGAGCCAACATGCGTCGATACTATGATATTTATATTCACCTATAATTACAAAGTGTACACCATCGATCTGTTGTAGTTTCTTCAAAAATTATAGTATTTGAGTAAAAAACAAAAATAGATTTGACATTAGATTCACTAAACATTGTTTTTGTCATTCATGAATTTCACTTTTAGGACCTTGGTAATTTTTAAAAGGGATTTTGACTTAATGGACGTCGAAAGTCACGTGTCGAAAAGTAAACACGTATCGAACGCTGTCTGTGTAGGATTCGTTAGTAAGCTAGTCGAAAAAGAATTTTTCAGTGGAATCCATGAACAAGTTTAGCTTCGAGGGTATATCTTAGGTACTTTAAAATACTCAAATTAATAATTTTCAAGCTTTATTAGTGCAAGCGAAAAAAGTGCATTAGGCCTTGGTTTCAGATCACCACCAAATGGTCAAAAAACAAAAAACAAAAAAAAAAAAAAAAAAAAAAAAAAAAAAAAAAAGAAAACAAACGAAATACAAAATATAAAAGCCTGGAATTACCTTAACAAAAATATTGCCTTTCTGATTTTTTTGGGTAGCCCACTTTAATTGTTTCATAATTTTTTTTTTGCGAAATATTAACTCAAAAATTCAATAAATTCTAGTAATATCGATTTGGAATTGTTCTAAAAAGTTCACAAGATAAGGTATAGCCCAAGGACAATAGATCTGGTTAGATTTTTAGCACCAGGAAAGATTTCATCTCATAGTGTATTTGTACTTCAGCACGCGAAGTCTAAGACAAGCTGTTATAAATTTAAAAACACAAAATGGCGTTTTCTAGATACATACCTTATATTGAATGTTTATCGTCGAAATGCCTTTCTTTGTGTACTAAAATTATGACTTTTTTGGCACAGATATAGCTTTTTAAAATAGAGATAAAACTTTAAAGAAATAGCTCACCTGGTAGAAACCTTTCGAGTTCCAATTATGAACGAAAGTGTCTTATAATAATCTATCTTGTGTATTGGCGAAGGACGGAAAAACCAAAAGAGCAAAATTCCCGTAGTGATCTCGGCAGAATCTGCTTTAATGGTGTTAGTTCTAAATGGTATTGAATCACTAACTTGTGACAACATCGAGCAACACATTCGAGGGAGTGAAAAGCATTGACAGATAGTTCTGAACAGCTATTGGTTGAAAAATGAGTTTAATATCAAATTGAGGGCATTAAATCCTCATGATGACTGCCGACATCAAGTTGAAAATTGAGTGACTCCCTAGACAATCAGGACTTCCTCTAATGCTCTTTGCTCACCTAAATAACATATTACGTTTATTAGACCCAATTYTAAAATCAATCCTCCCAAAAAGAGCTACATTTTTACCGATTATYTACACTAGTAAACAATCAAAGCTACTAATGTTCTATAATACCAACTTTCTTAACGATAGGCTTTCATTTATATTTGGTATTATGGACTTTGCAAATATATGTAGTTCAAGTATGGTATATGATATTTCGAGCATTTCAGTTTTACATATAGATATACTAACGTGTAATTCAATAAAATGAGCCAAATGGGGTTTGTATGGATAGTTTACCTATTTATTGAGAAAAAGATAAAAGAAGATATAGGCATATGGATTTAAGATAAAAGGTGAAAAGGTAAAAGGTGAAACGAGTCGAAAGGTAATGAACGAGTTGACACTGCTGATTGTGAATAATGTGATATATATATATATATTTCTAATTATTTCTGACTACAGCTACCACATTTTTAAGTCGAAAGGGGAAAA